AGGAAGAGGAAGGGAACAGTTCCCAGGACCTGGGGCAAACAAGGACAGAGGAAACGCTGCCATTCCTGTCCGCAGAGCACTTTATGTTTCTCCCTTGTGCGTAGGAATGCATACTGTGTTATGTGTTGTGTGTGTGTGTGTGTGTGTGTATGGCTTTACAGCTGCGTAGGTACAAATAGTGTGAATGAGCCAATACATTCATCATTAAGTCATGGAGGGACAAGGGTGAACTGAGAGAACTCACTGACAGCATCTTTCCCTTCACTCCTCAATCACAAGTACGACACCTATCCATCAAACTTTTTTTATTTCACATCCTGTGCTCCCCGACCTCTCTCTTCACTTCCTGCCCGCCCCCCCCCCCACACACACACACAGACTGAAGATGTTTTCTGAAGATTTTCAGGTTTTTTTTGTTTTTTTTAAAGCACATGAGGGTCTTCCTGCTTTTTCCTCCGTGTTTTTCGTCTTCCTTTTATTTTTCTACCTCCTAATGTTCTACCTTGCTACCCCCACCCAAACACACACACACACACACACACACATACACACACACACACACAAAAAAACACACACACCCATCTAACCCCTACACTTTTCCACCTCATAACTAAGGCTAGATCTCTCTTTGTCCCACAGCCTAGCAACCGGAGTGTGTACCGGATGAAAAACAACCTACCAACATACCAAGCATATGCATGATGTACATTCATTAAGACGCTTTCCTCCAGCAGAATGAGAATGAGAAAGCAAAGGGTCACGTCAGGTCTAGGAACAGCGGTGGGGTTCAAACAGGTCTGAGATAACAAACCTACAGAAAACACATTTGCCCTACATAAAAAAAAAAAAAAGAACATTAAAAATCAGCACGAGTTCCTCCAACTTCCCTGTTGGACAGGAAACTGGCAACAGTGACTCCGGGGATTGCAAAAATGTACTTCCACATTTTTTTTTAAAACCCAATTTGAGTTTAATATCTTGAGTCTCAATTTTCACTTTATACTTTATACTGCAGATATGGATTTTAACCAGAATTAACAGTGAAATTCAAACCATGACCGCTCAAGTAAACAAGACTAATAGTTGCTGGCGGCTCTGTGAGGATGCACTTATTTACACGCTGTGTAGTGTTTACCATGCACACCATCTTATTGCTAGCGTTTTCTAATTAGTGGTAAACACAACGCTGCAGCTGATGGTTAAGTCATTAGTTTTGCATCCCAAACATCATTATATTTAACGCAGATGGGTTCATAAACGTTAAATCATGGCGCCTCGTCCAGCCAAACTTTAACCCCTGAGCCGCTAATAATAATAATGAAATACTTAAACATGTTGCAGAGGTTTTCTTTATTCTTATAAATAAGTGAAACCTGCGAGAAGGTCAAACAACAGCCGGGGATCTGATCACAAGTGGACAGAATTAACTACCTGCTCTTTAAAATACTTCTCCAGTGACGACTTGTGATCGGATCTCACTTCCTGCTCCATTTGAAAATAATCAATCAAGTGTTGTTTCTACACAGACTGAGTTTACAGATGTGTCTGATGACAGAGAGTCGGCGAGGGGGGGGGGAGAGAACAAGAGGGAGCGGAGTCCAAAGGGACTAAAATAATTAAATAATTAAAGACCGATTTTCCTCATTTAAGAAAAGTATTGACCATTATGTGCGGATCAGTGTTGATTTTGTGGCCACAAACAAATCAACCATCACTGAGAAAAGTCAAAAATAAGTTCAAAAAAACTGCAGCAGGTCGGAAACGTCAGCAGAGGAGACGTCCTTCATGTGAGACCCAGGACTTTACACCATGTGGCCACATGCATCACAGACCGGAACTTGACCACTTGTGAGTGGATCACTCAGGACGGATGTTAATACAGAGTCAACAACTATTTACACTTGAATTTAATTTCCCAAGATGGCCACCACCAAGTCCAGGATCGTTTGGCTTCATTTTCGTACGAAGGGAAGAAGTGGAGACGTGTCATCCGTCTATGTTTACAGTCGATGGTCTGGATGGAGAGCGTTTGTGTCACGTTTGTAAGGTGAAGATCTACTGCAAAGTTTATCCTGCAGTCAGGAAGCCCAGCAAACAGAAAGAGAGAGAGAGAGAGAGGAATACTCCGGCAGTACGCAGGGTATATGAGTGGATCTGTGTTTATATTCAAGCCTGCGTTCTTACCACAGGATGCTACGTGTAAGAGACCAGCATGCAAACTTGCGACTGCTGTAGAGTAAACAGTCATTACCCAGGGCCTTCAATTTGGTGCTTTATCACCTCTCCTGGACTCCGGCTTAATATCTTTATAATGAAACCCAGATGCAGGGAGAAAAGTGGTGGAGCAAACAGAAAGGACAGGGGAACTCTGAGGAGGTAATGGGACTGGAGTTATCACCTCTCGGTTTCTTTCTCCCCCATGGGAACACCGAGAGGATGTGTGTGCACATGTACTCTTTTTTTTTTTTTTTTTTTTTTTTTTTTAGCAATTATCAGAGGGTGTTCTAGTTCTAGAAACTGTAATAACTGTACGTATGTATGTTTTCAGCCCTGTCCCTTTGTTTGTTGGTTGATTTGTTCGTTTCTTTATCAGCCCGATTACACAGAAACAGCTGAACGGATTTCCATTAAACTTGGTGGAAGGATGTGGTAAAGGTCAGGAAAGAACTCATTCCATTTTGGAGCAGATCCAGGATTCATTTGTCCTCATTCTTTAACTTTGTCAGATCGGCCACTTTACCAAAAAGAATAAGTAATCTTGATATCAGGGGACTGAAATTTGGTGCAGTGCGATTGAATATAGTTTTCTTCCATTTCTATCAGATTATTGTTGTTGTTCTAACGGTGAATTGTCCGCAGAATGTCCTGCTGTTCTCACATGGGCTCACTCGAACATTATCCAGAGTTTTTACAGGGAGGCTGGCAGGAGAAACTCTTGGAGAACGTCCGCAGCAACTGACTCACACAGCTGCTCCAGATACTTTCAGGAGATTACCTGGAGTTCAGCGTGGGTCTGAAAGCAGCTGCACAGATTGCTGAAGTTACACATCCACTCGTTGCTGTGAGTTTTGACGGTCTGGTCATTTGCGCTCACCACAACTGGACCCATAAAAAGAGAGAAAGCGAAAAGATAGCCAGACCTCTTCCTTTGTATAAATACACCCGATGAAATCAAGTCCAGAAGAACCAGCTGCAGTTTTAAAATCTCTGTTTTAGCTGGAGAACTCTGGAATGGTGCTAAAATTGTGCTGCATTACCAAACCAAAACATGTGAGTGTGGATGTAGCCTGAGTGTGTGTCTCTGCTGCTCAGCCACTTCTGTCTTCAGGCCTCTGTAGCTCTCTTTGTCTTCATGTTATTCAATGACCTGTGAGTTCCTCCGTTCCTGTTTTATATAAACCGCCTTGGAGACCTTGAAAAATGTTGTACAAGTTTCATCATTTACTTTTGTTATTAAAAGGAGCAGAGTTTTGAACCTGGGGGAGACGGAGCTGGCAGCTCTCCGCAGGCCTTGGCTCCGGCAGTCGCTAATAATTCACACTCATAACACTTTCGAGGCTAAACTGACAAGGTGTAAAAAACTCACAAATCATGAACTCTGCTGTCAAAGACATAGTTACCGAGTCAGAAGAATAATATTAGGTAAAAATCGAATGCAAATAGTTTTTATGAGAGAATCCATCTATCAGGAAGACGACATTTATACAAGTTTAATCCTGTTCTAATGAGCCTAACAAGGCCGATTCCAAACAGCTCTAGTGTAACTGGTGCAACATCCTTAACTGTTACTGCTCATACTTAACATCTTTGCTGCGGCGAATTGAAATGTTAACCTCTATTTTATTCAGTCTTGGCACCTCTTGCTGTTTATCATTCGTAGTCAGTGCCAACACATCTACAGGTCTGCTTGTTTTATTCTTCAAAGCAGATCAACATGGGAATAGTTGCTCGCAGAGCTGCAGTGCTAATGCTGAAATGGGAACCGTATGTGCATTCTTTGGAAAAAGAAATGAGGGCTCAAATGAGAGGTGTTAAAATTTCTCTAATTGTATTTTCCTCTTGGAAGTGTTTCATGTTCCCAAAGTAGGCCATTAGATCCAAAAAGAATGGCTATGCTGATGGATAATAGGAAAGAATTTTTTAAACCTTTATTCAACCAGGACAACATCATCGAGAGCAAAAAATCTTTTGAATATTACTTAGTCGCACGGAGAAAAACGCGAAAGGAGACAAAATTGTGAAGAAATAGAACTTTCAGAATCGTTTGTTACGAGGCAGTTTGAAACAATGCATCGTGAGGAGTCTGTCTCTGGTTCCTCGTTTTGGATAATAAAAGCATTTTAATGAAATGGATTCCTCAAGCTTCATTTCCTTCTGCAGCGTTTAACACGCCACAGGTGCGGAACAGAGAGAAACACGACGGACTCTGTGCTGCGGTGATCGTCGACTGGAGCGTCCAGATCTCGCTGAGCTGTGGCTCAGCTGTCGATCGTGATGTTTCATCCCGTTGTTACCGGATGAAATAACTAACTAACCCACTTTGGTTCCTGCTCGATCGAGGCTCAGTCGTTAAGAGACACGACGGGAAAATACAATAATATACAATGAGAGACAAATGTTAAAGCTACGGAATATTTTTACTCTTAAGTTTCTATCTGCTTCAGTAAACGTTAGTTGTTCTTTCTGCTCCTCAGAAAACCTGCACTGGTCTCAGAGTCCGTCATCTTTCAGCACCTCGAGTCTAAATGGGTTAATATGTTGTTAGCTCAGCTACTTGTTGATCTATAGGGACCAGAATATGAGAGCATGCTGCAAGAATTAGCCAACAACAGCCACATTAATGCACTCCACATCCTTTGAGCTCATTGAGCTCGACTGCCTTAAATATGACAGTGTGGAAAATTACACGAGGGAAGGGGCCAAATAAAAAAATATGCTTCCCTGTTGAGTGGAGGTGCGTGTGAAGTTGTCAAAAGTTACTCGTTTCTTAGAAAGCTTACCCTTCTTGCCAAACCCAGAGCAATGTAGCACTTCTCCCCGGCATCAACGATCTCCACTTCGTAATAGTGGCAGCGGGTGGTCAGAGGCTGACGGGCCTGGGCCAAACCCACGTCCATGATGCTCTTTCCTTTGCCAACATACTCCAAGAGCTGAGGACGGCAATAAAAAAAGAGGGGGAGAGAAAGAGGAATTCAGAATTTAAGAGATAAAATAAAAAGCGACAAATTAAACAAAAATATGTTATAACACAGGCTCAGATTATCCACTGAGTTATTGCTCTTTCATCAGCTTGTAAAAAAAAACGACGCTACGCGTGATGTAACATCCACAGCTGCGTCCAAACCTTCAGGTCGCATTCAACAACAACGGCCAACCCTGTGAATTTATTCACCATCGCGTCTGTTTTTTACTGAGGCATCAATTAGGGTAAAAAAACGAACTGCATCCATATCAGGTTATTTTTTCCTGGCTAACGTTAGCATACACGGGCAAAAGACTAAATTTGTCCAAATTCTTATTGAAACTATTTCACCATCTGAGATCCACAATTACAGAAAAGGACAAATCACTGAAGCATCTTGAAGATACCAGAGTTTGACCTGAGCCCACGTCAATACTTGAGATAATGATGACGTTCACTTCCATCATACGTCATTTTTCACAGGGAGCGAAAACAACGTTCTTCTGACTTGAACGCTCCGCCGAGCTTTTGCGGAACTTTTTGCACATTGGAATGAATTTGGTTGCGTTCAGACCCGGACTGAGCACTGACCACGGACGTTGAGACCACAGCATTCTCTCAAAGGCCCCGTTCAGACTTGGTATCAAGTTTCCAGCACTTATCTAATTTCCCTGCCTTCCTCTTTAGAAATGGTTCGTTAGGCGACACAAAGGGCCGGCAGGTTGGCTTTGTGAGGGGGGGGGGAGTTGAGATGGAGACAAAAGATGGTCACAGGATCTCAAGCCCAGTGTTGTTCAGGAGGTGAAGCAGTCACCTGTGCGACTCGCTTTTGCAAGTGTGCCCTAAGTGAGTGGGCACCACGACAGACTGACACCTCCAAATCCAGTCCCACCCGCACTGAACCGCCCATTCTGCAAACAAGTACGAACAGCCATTCGAGACGGCCCGTGTGTTTCCTGATAATGTAATTACTTTCAGGTCTATTTTGATCCTAAGCATCTAAACAGGTGAAGCTGGGTGAGTACAGGTGAGTGGGTGGGCAGCTAGGCAACCACAAAGCCTTTAGGCTGAACAGTGTTTCCATGCCATGTGAGTCCATGTGTGTGAGTGAGTGAGTGAGAAGAATACGCCCCCGGCTTGAAAGACTAGGATGACAGACAAGGTGGGGGTGGACAAAATTACTTCTGTTATTCAGCCTTTGCATGTACGTGTGTGTGTGTGTGTGTGTGTGTGTGTGTGTGTGTGTGTGTGTGTGTGTGCGTGTGTGTGTGTGTGTGTGTGTGTGTGTGTGTGTGTGTGTGTGTGTGTGTGCGTGTGTGTGTGTGTAAAGCCGCCTGGGTGTGCTATGTTTCACTAGCCAGACACTTGAAGGACACACCTGGTGGGAACAGCTATTCAACATCTACGTCAAGTGTCTCAATGAACTTATTACCATTTTCCATTTCTGTTATTCCCTGTTGCTTAGTGATCCATCAAACTGAGAGCTGCTCAGAAATGAAGCTAACACAGTTGAAAAGTTTCATTTCTGTCTCTGACCTTGATGATGGATTAAACCTTTTGCTGAGAACTTGTGTATGTGTAGTTTCTGTGTGGCCATAAATTACACAAGTTCTGGTTGACTGCTAAACGTCAGAGAGAAATACAACAATCACCCATGATTCTTTTTAACTGTTGCAGTAGAAAATAATAACAGTTTTAATGAAGTATAGTGCTTTATGTACACAACTCGATGAGCTTTATTTTACTTGGTATTCAACTTGAATGCAAAGCAAAACATGGTAAATGTACACATTCGCTTGTTTGTGTGTTTGTCAGCAGGATTACACAAAAACTACGGAACAGATTTTCATGAAACTTGGTGGAAGGATGGGACACGGGCCAGGTAATAATTCGTGGATCTTGATGCTTGATGGCTTGTTTGTTTTTCTGTTAGTTAGTAGAATTACGCAAAAACCACTTGACAGATTACCGAACTAGCTTGAAGTGGTGTGAGTCAGGAAAGTCAGGAAAGAACAGTTTTAATTTTGGTGAAGATCCAGATCAGGGGGCGAAGAGCAGCACATTCACACTGATTTGGCTTTACAGGATTATCAAACTCACGCCCGTGGCAATGATTATGTAATTCCATCAGCTTCCAGTTGTCAGTCTGGTTGCATAAAGAAATCTGTCTCCATTGTCTGGTTGAGACAATTCCAACAGTATTTTGTTTTTTTATTTTAGAACATTCAAGAAAAAAAAAATCTACATTTACAGTTTGAACATGGCTCATGGAGCAAGACAAACATTCTGTAACTGTTTATAATACATCATAATGCAAGAGCTTATAGGTGTCTGAGGTTTTATGTGTACTCCAAAACCTGCTTCACCTTCATGCCTGGACAACTGCTTTTCTTTTAGGAGAGGAGGAAAGTTTCAGTTTGATGTACACTCAGTCACACCCTTTGTTGCTTCTTGCTGCCGAGTAATGAAGGAGGACAGAAACAAGAGGGCAGAAGAAGAGAGACGTAGCTCTGAGCGAAATAAGTCTCACTGTGATAGCTGATAATATCTCTCTCTCTCTCTCGCTCTCCCTCTTTCTCTCTTGCTCTCTCTCCCCTGTAATTCTGAGTGTGGAGAATGGTGATGGTGGTGTGCGAGGCCATGTTTTGTTGAGGTGCTGCCTGGGAAACAGATGCAACGCCCAAAGAGTGGTCCTGCCAGCTTCCTGTCACACCTAATGGGGGAACTTATAGAAACTGAAATTAGGAGACCTCCTCTTTATCCTCTTCTTCATTAACTCGATTAGACAACACATAACAGCTGGTGAGTCAACAAAACTCAGCTGCTGTTAAGTGTTTATTCTTTCCATTACATTTTGTTCTCTCCCTGGGTTGCTTCTTTGGTATTTTGTAATTAAATTCCTCTGTCTGTTCCTCATAAAAGCATATTTTAGTCTGTTTTTCTTGCATTGCCTCGCCTCCTACCTTGTTCTCTTCGTTGCAACGCCTTTACTCGATAAATCTTCACTATAAGTGCGCTCAAAAACTCAAATATAGACATAATTACATGACAGGCTCAAAGCAACTGTGCCAGTTTCATTTGGTAAATATATGAGCTGGCATTTGCCTCGGAACAGCGGCTGAGAGTCCCTGCTCCCATTAATATCTCACTTGGGTTAGATGCCCTCCAGTAGCTAAATCGGACTTGTCCATCAGTCACTGTTGTGTGCAAAGAACAACCAAGAGGAATATCTTAAAGGACTGAAAGCCACCACAACAGCACCACAGCCGGCTGCAGACATATTTTAATTTGTCCTTAAAAGTTTTTCTGACACTCACTCATTCCTAAGTTTTAACAGCTTCCTTGTTCAAAGGTGTAAAGTGTCATAACAAGCGCTTTAAAGAGGTCGGACAAGAAAATTCAAAGTGTAACTCGGCACCAAAATATGTGCAAAGACAAAAAAAAAAAAAAACAGCTGTAATTGCCATGTGAGAATATTCTGTTACAAAACAAGCTGAGCTTTGTCTCGGATGCGGCGTCACACCTGCAGCTACACCGTGAAGAAGAGTTTAAAATAATAGCGCATCACACAGTGCAGGATATTAAGACTATCCTGCCAGAGAGCGAGCAATCAGGCCGCAAACTCTCCTCATATGGTCTCACTAAATCTCATTAAATGTACAGACTATGGTGCAAGAACTTGCTTTAATGTTAGCAGAACTTTGCAGTGGCAAAAAAATGTGTATATATATATATATATCAGAAGGCTAAGATACAGTCAAGACGTGCAGCGAGTACTGGAGAGATTTTAATGTTAAGTTTTAATATTTTAACACTAACCTCCAGGGCTATTGCTTGGTAGCACTATCATCTGCTGCAGGATTGTCTTGGCTCCATCACTGTGAAAGGACTGAAGTGCTCACAATCCTAACAGTCAAGATTCTAACTTGTAAATCTTTTGGTTGAACTTTGAGCCAAGTTGGACGCCCTGAGCTCTCTGGACCAGGTGTACATGAAGGATATCGCTGTACTTTTACTCCGTTCAGTTTTGCATCAAACCTGCCCCCCCCAAGATAAATGGGCGTGATTTGCCCAACGTGTTTCAGGGCAGAAGGATATCAGTATGAACAGGAGGGGGGCTGCGAGTGTATAAAAATGAGCTTANCCCCCTTGAATTGATATTGGACAGGTGATGAGTGATGCCTGGTTTCCTCCAGGTCAAACTGCTCAATCTTGGTTTCATCAAAGAGTCCTTTATGTGCGTTCGTGTGTCGTAGAAGAGGCAACTGTGATATAAAGTCCAGATCTGTGGAGTGCTGCAGGATCTCTGAAGGTCAACCCAAGGCCCCTCTGCCACGACTGCTCAGGTTCCAGCTCCTGAAGAGTCGTGGATGTGTTAAACTTCTTACTGTCGCAGTGCCTGTTGAGAACGTCTGTTTCTGGCGGTGCAGATAAATGGTGAATGGTTGTATTTATATCGCGCTTTTCTAGTCTTGATGACCGCTCAAAGCGCTTTACGCTGCAGATGCTGCTGCAAGTTGCTGTAGTTTATCTGAGGACGTGGAAGACGACATGTTTAACTTGGTCCACAGAACTGTTGAGACACACTACCCTGCCTCCGCTGACTGCAGTAGCTGTTTGCCTTTTTATTGTTATTGTTATTATTGAGTGTAAAAAAAATCACATCAAGTCAAAATTACTAATCCTCGGGCCCATGACACTACACATTTTTTTCGCAGCCTGTTTTTGCTTTGACATTCTGAGGAACTGTGCAAATTGATGAGGGGAAAAAAAAGGTAAATGTATTTTAGCATCACAACAACAAAAAACTGAAGAGTACTGAATACTTTGAGTGCACCGTAAAGTTACTTTGCAGATTTAATCAATCAATCGTCCCCGTGAGATTTCCGTTGAAACCTGTGAGAACCAAGGACCTACATTGTTGCCCTTCACAGACACCTCATCACTCATTGGCCATGTGGAGCTTTT